GCACATTCTCTTCTAACATCCACAGGCTGTATTCAAAGTGAATCCGGAAAAGAAACAAACAAACAAACACCCCATATGCAGTTGTGAAATCCAATTAATTCACTTCAAGGAGCCACTGGAAAGCTGTTCATTAAGAAAACCTGCCCTGTCAAGTATGCTGTCGTCTTGACAATCCTAAAGACGCATTTGAAAATGAAAAAAACGAAAACACATTCGATTACAGTGGGGTAAAATTCTGTCTACGTTTATTTAAAAGAGGACACCCCATCAGATATGCATTTTATGAGAGCCATAAAATGAACTGAATAGAAAGCAACACAGGAAGCACATCAGACCTATAGCTGGGCAGCTATTCTGGGTTACAGACCTGGGGGTCGCAGAAGCAACTTACCTTCACCTTAATGATGGGAACAATAATAGCATAATCAGCCCCCCAAACTTCTATTATTTTCTAGTACTCTAACATTCGAGGGTGCTTCAGCTTTTGACAGGAGGGTCAAAGGAAGGGAAATCTCATTTGGATTAAAAAATATCTCACTTGAAAGGGCCTCCAGAAAACTACTGGGCAAAGAGGCTTTGGGGGAGGTGCCCCGTCCGCCGTAAAACACGAGCAAAGCGCGAAGGCTCAGAATCCCAACTGAGAGACTGAGCGTGGGTGGGGGGAGAAGAGGGAGAGGGAAAAAACCAGGAGATAAACCTGAAGAGCCTCAAGAAACGACAATGTCAGACAAAGAGTAACGAAGAGAGGTGGAGAACAGCCAGGGACGCTGTTCCCCGAGCCGCGGGTCCGGGGCAGGGAGGCGGGGCAGGGCCGGGCAGGCGGCGAGCGCCGCCTCGCGGCCGGGGCTGCCTCTTACCTCCTGGGCGAGTTTCTGCTTGAGCACGAGCGCGGCGCACAGGTAGCCCGCGCGGCCCACGAACAGCTCGTCGGAGCCGCACTCGAGGAAGGAAACCGGCGCGCAGACGGCGCACAGAGACCGGAACTTGCCCAGCGGCTGCACGTAGTCGGACCGGCCCAGGGCGTGGTACACAAGCGTGGCCACGGCGTACACGCCCGCGCCCCCGAGCAGGAAGGCGGCGCGGGTGTCGGCGTCCGGCTCGCCCCACTCCTCGGCGCGGGCGCACGCGTCGATGAGGCGCTTGGCCGAGCGCAGGTAGCGCTCCCGGGCCCCGGCGAAGAGCGGGCTCTGAGAGACGTGGTAGAGCATGTAGGCCACCCCGGCCACGCCGCCGTACAGCCCTCCCTGGCAACTGCCGGCCGCGGCCGCCGCCCCCCGGCCCTCAGCGCCGCCCCCCAGCGGGGGAAGCTCCTGGAGGATGCGCTCGATGGTGGCGGTGACCAAGGGCGCCACCGCCTCCTCGCACTGGCCCGCCAGCAGGCTGCCCTGGTAGTCATCGAAG